CCTTTCACCACGTCGCCTTCTAACCCTGGCACGACCATCGTGCATGCCTAAACAAAATCTAGACTCGTCACTAAAGATAATACTGTTCCATTCCTGATCCCAGAGTGACCGTTGTCTGCACCACTCAAGGCGATTACGTCGGTGTTCTCGAGAAGGGAGGACCCAGTGTGGCCGGTATGAAAACAAGCAAAAACTTCTCATTCGTCGGTAAACACTTTGCATGCCAATAGGTCTTCCGTGTTCTGCAAGCCCTTCATTTGCAATGGACCTGGTAGTGGAGAAACGGTCCCTTAAGGCCAATAATCTTAGGCGGCGATCTTCCCGGTCTGTTGTTCTACGGCGGCGTCCAGTGCCAATTGCTCTTTGCGTACGGCCTTCTCGAAGCCATGCCTGACAACACCTAACCACAGTGTCTACACTTCTTTGCACTCTAACTGCAATTGCCCGAAAAGAAACTCCAGCTTCCCGAAGTCCCACTATACGGCCCCTATCAAACTCACTAAGTTGACGAAATCGTACAGGTCTCCGTACTCTAGGCATCGTAACCGATCGTAAAGGATGTCAAGAACCAAAATCCGCCAACGTTGATTCTTTACTGCGGCTGAAATATTCATTTTTAGAGCGTTAGTGAATTAAAAAAAAGCAGTATAAAAACCGGAATGTCCAACTGATAAGGCTGAAAATTTTTTCACTTGTTATTTACAGTAAGATAAATACATTCACCAACTTTTATTAAAATAGAACCATTTAACTGGGTGTTCGGATTTATATGTCACTTAGTATATTTCGGTCAATATTCAAAAATAAACGGAAAACAAACAACGCTCTTCTCAAAATTCGTATGCCATACACTGAAAGCGGTACACTACAGTTTCTTTGACTAAAGAACGAGTCAATCCGAGAAAAATAAAATCACTTGGATTCTGGATTAGGCTCTATACGGTAAGGAAAATTTCCAAAAAAATAAATCCAGAACCTCAAAAATATTTCACTTACGGTTACCGGAATTAAAAAATATATCACTAAAACGGAACGCACTGGTTAAACGGAACACCCTTTTAACTCACCCTCTTACCTCTTGGTACAAGCGGGTACTTCGGTACTAATGTTACATACGCCCGCGCTTTTATAGCGCTCGCCAATGTTCTAGAACCGATCTTGGTCGCAACGTGATACCGTCAGCCACTGCGTGACGCCGACGTGGTGCATTTGATTGAATCAAAAGTATTTCTATTCGATTCCTTATGGCGTATCCTATAAAATGAGTGCCCGCACCCTAGGGCATCTCATTCCAAAGGGCTAGATCAGACCCTGCAGGGTTTCAAGTCCCAAAAGGGCCTATAGCCAGTTCTAGCGCTTCTCCGACGACCGGCAGTGCATCAGCAGGTTGCAATTCTCGCGTGCTGACCACTCTAAAGTGCATTTAAACCAGGAATACAACCAAAAGGGACCTTAGTGCCTTTTTGCCCACTGTCAGGGACCTTACAGGGCCCATAACACCAAGAGGCTTATGTGACAAGTCCTCCAAGGCATCGGGATGTGGAACAACGACTTCTCATTCGTTATAAGAGCACTATATTGCCTATTTCAGTAAGTGCCTCGATACGCCACTTTGGCGTGTTGTTTTTCCCCTGCAAATCCCTGAACCTATTAGCACTGCCTCATGACGCATTCCTGACGTCCTGAATCCCATCTTGTTCATATTTCAGTTTGTGATATAAGCACTTTTCAATAAAAAAGTTATTTTTTCCCCCAACAAATTTGCATATTATTGACTGTTCGGCTATATTGGTATTCAGATTTTTCATAAGTTTAGATTCCCTTCTTTTTGGCTGCAAATAAAGTATCATATTTCGGAGCACTTCTCACGTTCCCCGAAGACGTGAGATGGCACATTCCTTAGGTGCCTGCGGATATTTCCAACGCTTTCTGGAAATGTTGCTTCCTTATTCAGACTCTTAGGCCCGTATCGTCAGTCATCCCTACAATTGTAGGGCGCGTTTATGGCCTCCTTGATTGTCACACTCCTTTCTCTCCTTCACAAATTCCAAGATTACACTTGTCCCGTGTCAGCGTCAGCGCTCTCCTATTGTGAAGATATGTTTTCTTTTTAAATTGTAGGAAATTTCAGGCTGATAAAACATGATATAAATCAAAAGCAAGCACAATTTGATGCAAATAGATGTTTGTGACATAACCTCAAAATAGAGCGCTGACACGGAGAAGTAGAGAACTATAACAATCAAGGAGGCCATAAAGGCGCCCTACAATTGTAGGGACAACTGACGATAGGGGCCTTAGCCTATGAGCTCGGCTTTGGACTACTTTGCGGAGCTTTGGTTCTAGTGGCATATTAAAGTCTATTAAATACCCGAACACCCAGAAAATTTGGTAACCACGTATTTTTTTGAAAGGAGGTTCTAGGAAGTAGCTTGCTTTATTTTCTTGATGCTGAGATTCTTCGCATACGAAGTAATATTTATTTTATATCCCTAAATAAATAATTTTCTTTTTTTGCACCGATGCAACAAAATTAATGTTCATAACGCCTCAATATTATAGAAGAATCAACTCACCCAACATTCCTTAGGTGCCTGCGGATATTTCCAACGCTTTCTGGAAATGTTCCTTCCTTATTCAGACTCTTAGGCCCGTATCGTCAGTCATCCCTACAATTGTAGGGCGCATTTATGGCCTCCTTGATTGTCACACTCCTTTCTCTCCTTCACAAATTTCTAGATTACACTTGTCCCGTGTCAGCGTCAGCGCTCTCCTATTGTGAAGATATGTTTTCTTTTTAAATTGTAGGAAATTTCAGGCTGATAAAACATGATATAAATCAAAAGCAAGCACAATTTAATGCAAATAGATGTTTGTGACATAACCTCAAAATAGAGCGCTGACACGGAGAAGTAGAGAACTATGACAATCAAGGAGGCCTAAAGGCGCCCTACAATTGTAGGGACGACTGACGATACGGGCCTTAGCCTATGAGCTCGGCTTTGGACTACTTTGCGGAGCTTTGGTTCTAGTGGCATATTAAAGTCTATTAAATACCCGAACACCCAGAAAATTTGGTAACCACGTATTTTTTTGAAAGGAGGTTCTAGGAAGGAGCATGCTTTATTTTCTTGATGCTGAGATTCTTCGCATACGAAGTAATATTTATTTTATATCCCTACATAAATAATTTTCTTTTTTTGCACCGATGCAACAAAATTAATGTTCATAACGCCTCAATATTATAGAAGAATCAACTCACCGGTCCGGAAAGAGCCTCATAATTCGTGGTATAGTAATAATAATAATTGTATTGGTCCAACTACAAAGTTTTCTTATAAATAATAACAGTAGTGGTCAACTTGGATTATACTCGTATAAATACAAAAAATTTTCCATAAGTTAGTACTAGTCAAATGTATAAATTTGTATCAATTTATTACCAAATAACATATTGATTTTTAATGTCTACAAACTTATGGATTTGTAGTTTTGGTTGATTTAGGAGAATCTAATTTAATTTTTAAAGGCTTTCTACAATTTATATGTTGAAAGTTTGCAGGAAAGGCATATACAATTTTGAGCACCGAAAGTTGAATGATCCTTGGCTGATAATTATATTTAGTCTGAGGATACTCGAAAGAACAGATGTTTCCTTGAATCTCGTTTGATGGTTGTGGCCGTCAGAATGTAACAATTTTGGATTTTTTGTTAAATATACTATGATAAAAATATGTTTGCCGGCAGACGAAAAGCTGAGATTCACTATAATTAATTAATATTTTCTGTGGGATAAGACCACTAACTCCAAGCCATTACCTTCACTAGCGGCACGGATTTTATGTACCTTGAAAAGTAACATTATGCCGACTTTTTGGTTTGTCGTAACATTATGTGAATTTTTCTACAAGATGTTAGCTTGGCACTAGCTGATGGATACTTTGTGAACTCGTTTTGAAGTTGTACGTGTTGCCTAAACGTCATGAGGCTTCAGTTATCAATGTTTGGCTCTTGAGGTCTAAACTGAGGGATATTGAGAATTTTTGTGTTAATAATGTATGATGATGGTAATTCCATTAGATTTTTGTCTCAAATACACTTACTTGAGATTCAAGGCTAGAAAGTTGCGCATCCACTTTTTCTTATCTATTCTGAAAATTACACATGTAAATTTGATGAATTTCAAAAATGAGAGAGATAAGAAATAATTATATTCACTGTACACTGTCGAATTACAAGTCATGTACATGCTAACAGTAATTACACACAACGCGGGCGCGGTGGTGATTTTTTCTGAATCTCAATGTTTCTGAAAACACAAAAGAAAAGTCGTAATTTATAACATTCTTCAGGAAGAACAACACAAATAACCCATTTGGCACAGCTAATAGATATACTTCATTGGCAGCATAGTTAGTAATAATTTTCTCACATAGCAAATATCACAGATTTTATACACATGCAGGCCAATACAATCATCCAGATGTGGTCTTGGTACTCAACCAAACTTTCGTTCTTGCAGATTTTAAGCACTACAATTTGTAATCTACAAAGTGGCTGTCTGCAACCAACAATGCATACTTGTAAAGAGACGAGCATGCCGTATCGTTCATTCATTCCTCCACAGCTGGACGCTTTGGATAGCGCGCACAAGGATCCTAGTGGGCAAACGTGGAATTACAGTTTACACCCTAAAAAGTAACTAGTCTGCAAGTTAACATCTTATAGGTTTCTTTTGACGTTTTATAGGTTTTTTACATAATAGTTGTGCCGGACTCATTTCTCGTCACCATTCGCTCTTGCTAAATCGGCTTCTTCCTCCCATTTGCTTCGATCACAGTCCGCAACGCCTTGAATAACTATTTCTTCGGCTACATTTTTATGATGTTTAAATAGGTAGTTGGACTCACAAATGGAACATTCAAAACTGAAAATAATTCTTCAGCGGTCGAGAATCCTACGCGCTACGCCAGTAGATATTGCCGCCGATGGTAACGCGTCGTTGATATTTGTGACATCGATACACTCTTTCAACAAATCAATAGTTTTCTCCATGTTGCACAATCGATAAACGAATTTGATCCTGGACTTCAATGCTCATTGGTGGGTTATGTATCCGCAAACGAGCAATCAAATCGCGGGTGTTTGGGAATATCTGCGGTTTGTTGGAAGATAAATCATATATCAACCACTGGCCTTCCATGTAGTGAGAAAAACTCTACGGTATCACCCTTACTGTCGCTTTCCTGGAAGCTAAAAAACATATTTTTTATTATAATAGCTTTGTAATGAACAGCAGATTGAGATACCTTGTGTAACTTGTTTCTCCAGCTTCGAAACCGGTTGTTCTCTCTGATGAGCGTTGCTGTATCGAGATTTGTTCCACAATTTGGTCAGATATTATCATATCTTGCTTGGTCCTTCAACAATAAAAGTAATTAGTAATACTAGCAGAAATTGTAACACTGATGATAACAGTAATGACTCTGTCTCTTTTGAGATAAGATGTAGATTTGGCAGTGTCGCTTTGCTAATATGTGTTTATAATGAACACGAAACAATATTTTTTTATCAACTCAAGAGGCTATTTAATGATTTCACCGAAAACCCCAATATTCCAAGACCTACGGTTACCGAGGTATGCTCTTTTTTGTTTTTATGCTGAGTTCCTTGAAAACGGACATAAATACCTTGTATCTTGTTTCTTTTGTCCAAATAATAACGCAAAATATATGTGGATACCTGGATTACCTACATTTTAGATCTAATTAATAATAGGTATAGAGTATGAATGGCCAAAAGTTACTTTGAACGGACTTAAAATGATTATAAACCCTTACTACTGTTATAAATCTTCACCACTAATGGCCCAAATATTGTCATAGACTGAAAAGATACTTAATACAGGTATCGGAAGTCATCAACTTGCATTTCGAAGCCTGCCTGTTTTTAATGCTTCGCAATTACTACTTTCATTAATCTCATCAGGGGAAGAAGCTAACCCTTTCCTTTTGAATGGATAACAAATTATTTCTGATGTGCAAGTATATTGTTGAAAATATGAAAGACTTCAGTACTTTCCTAAGTAGAGGTAGGGTCAAAACTAGGACGATCTTTGCAATCGAATTTCGAGCTTTTATTCACCACCCTCCCCCCATTTTTTGACTTCGGAAGGTTATAGGTCTTTTCTGGGGCAATTTGAACGCACTACTTATGTGTTGTGATTAACCATGCATTGTACATTTATTCTGTGTTAGTATCCACTTACGAACATAAAAAAAATCTTGTCTCATTAACAGAACATTAAACATTCGCCTTTTCCGTAACAAAATCATTAATAGCTTCCAAAATTACCCAGTACAATTCCGATTCCCTGAATAGAACGTTCCATTTCTACATTGGAATTAAGAACATTTCCCGCCATCCTGACTAGTATCGAATTCGCAAATTCGAACATGAACAAAAAAGTTAAAAGCACAGCCCACCTTCCTGTGTACCCTGTATTGAATTTGGCACTCTTATCCACTTGATTCAATATATATAAATAACTTCTTTGATTTTGAAATAACTAATCATTTTTTGCACAGTAGAATCACCCCGTCTCGCACCTAACAATGTAATCATCATGACGACAGCGCAATAAGGTATAAAATAAAGATGATGAAGTCTAACTTTCTACAATCTATATGAGCCTTCAAACAAGTGTAATTTACGAAAAACTTGTAGAGATCAGGTTATTAAAAATTATACGGCAGCTTACATCTAACTAATTAAAAGGTAGCTTCATATCTACCAAGCCAGTTAAAAAAGAATTAATTACAATATATTTCCCTTTGATGTCCTTTCTTCTGTCTCCTGTTCCTTTTTTTACTAGGATATACCCGGATCAGTTGCATAGTTATTCTTCCCATTATGCGTTGTAGCACACTATAAAGGGGCTCCTACAATCATGAGTACCATCTGCTGAGGTAACGGCGGGGTGAAAAGGAAACGAGGGTGAGCAGGTCTTAGACGGTTGTCGGCGCTACTTTAAAAGAGGAAAGGATGACTGCGGGTGCGTACCGAGGTAAATTTTTATAATAACAGAGTCAGATTTCGATTAGCGATCTAGCCTACAGGATTTACAAATCGTTTCCTATTTTAGTACTCAGCAAGTGATCATTTAGTATTGTCCTACCCTGGTTACCGTTCGTCCATATTGTGTTGTTGAATTGTTGTGTTGTACTCTTGTTGGTGTGATTGTCCTTGAGTGCCTTCTTTATCAAGGTTGATAATGGACAATAGAAGGTCATATGCGACAATTTTAATTACGAATGCAGTGAGTTTAATTCATGATGAGGACAACAATAATGTGGAGCAGTTCAACTCTATAATCGCAAAATACATTGGGGTAAGCGAATAAATCATTGCAAGAAGAGGTCATACCATGGAAAATGTGCTGCAGCTGTAGTGAGCCACAATACCGAGCGGCCTGTCTATGTGGTCCAAATACATTTGCGTGCTAAGCTTAGTCCATCCTCGCTTATCACTAAGATGGAACAAAGACTCAAACGCAAGAATCGTGAAAAGAAACTCAGACCAAAAAAAGCTGATATAAAAATAACTAACAATTCGGATAGCAATTCCAAAGAAAATTAATAGTTTTATGGCGAATTCAGTCAAAAACCTGGCATTAACTACATTGATTTGGAGGTTGCTAAGCGAAAATTTTTAGGGAAACAAAAAAAGTACGACGAGATTTTGCTGATCGAACAAGTCACAGGACTGTACTTTGTGGCGTCTTCAACGGAGGATAAGGTTGACAGCGTCTCGATGTGGTGAAGTTTGTATTAGAAGGCAGACTACAAGCTGTAAAGTTCTAGTAAACTCCATCATATACCCAACACAGTTTTCTAGTAAGGCAATAAAAAAAGGCTATACAAAAATCATTGGACACAAAAATCATTGGACACGGCAGTTCAATCTTGTGGTTTGTTTATTGATCGCACACATCTATTTCTGGCAGCATCAGCTACATCTGCTTATTACAGTAGTCAAGACATGTACATAATCCAGGTATAAGCCTACCTATTTATTGCTTTGAAAAAACTACCTAACTGTTTCCTCTTGTTTTGACTGCATAAGATATTTTTATGACCCTCGTTCAATTGTTACCATCTACCACATGACCCTTGTAAACATAATTTTGTTTATTGACATGAATAAACGAATTGTAATTTGAGTTCTTGAATTTATTTTAGGAAGGATATAAAATTAGTTGAATACATTTTTTCTTAGTCGGAACGCACCGTCACGACGCCTGGACTGGCAGGTTGAAACAGTAGATGAATTTCGCCCAAAAACCGATTTGCACTTCACAGCTTACGTTTAATTTTTATTATTTCCAAATGAAACTCTTGCAGCGTGCTAAAGACAAAGTCCACAGGGTGCCAGCGATCCACTTTTTCGATTTTATCCACTAGGATCTTTTTAAAATATTAAGAAGTTGAGCACAAATAGTAAGCATTCCAACCCACCAAAATTTTTGCGCAAATACAAAATTTTGTAAAAAGCTCTGATAGCACCATAGTCAATTATGTACTGCTTATATCCAGAAAAACATCACAAACTGCAGAACAGAAATTGAAGGTAACGACGAGCTGGGTACATTTCACGGGTCATGAAATTCAAATGAAAATGCAGGTATAAAATCTACCAAATTATCATTCTCAAGAACATATTTCCTTGACATATCGATAATTTCAAAGTTCCACGCTAAATTCCCCTATACTTGACTGGAGTTATATCCGAATTTATTCTTCCCTACTGTCGGTAGTTGCAGATCTTTTGGCTCTTGGTGTCAAACCTATAGAGCAGATACCGATTTTTTTCAAATCGTGAGCAGACTATTCGTCAGATTTTAGTTACTTAAATTTCCTGTAATCACTGGGATCAAAAGCTTCTTAATAATAGAACGTGTTTCACTGATTTCAACCGCCCCTTTTTAAGCAGTACAATTTTTTTATGTCAATGATTAGGAACCAAGAAACGTCAAAAATCGAGTTTCAGCAATTGTTACTTTTTCTTTTTTGCCTATAGCACCGTTGCCAGTGGAGTAGAACTACAAAGCTTTGGCAGTGTGGAAATTTTGATCAAAATCCGAGCGGTCATTTCCAAGTTGATGATGAGTGATACAGTTTTTCGTGATGTAGATGCCATATGACTTAAAAAAACATAACATCTCATTTTAGAAATTTTTCGCGATTACAATACTTCCTCGCCAATGGCGTGGGAAGTAAAACGGCTTTAAAATCCAGGAGTATCAGCGATCGCGATTGTGAGTCCCTATTTGCAGAACGAGTTATCTACGAGATATTATATGAAATAGAGCCACCAAATTATCTGAATTCTCAGTCCGTACATTGCGCCACAACGCTTGTGTTGGCAGCACGAAACAGTAGACAAAATTCGTCCAAAATACGATTTGTAGAGTTTTGCGCGCTTCGGAATTGACGTTTTATTTTTTGATATTTTTGGATGAAATTTTCACAGTGTGCTGAAAACAAAACCCACAGGGTTCTATAGAGCCACTTTTTCATTTTTTCACTAGGTTCTTTTTAAAAAAATTGAACAGAAAAAGTGCGCACTTCAACCCATCATAAAATTTGTGCAAAAACAAAATTTCAAAAAGTGCTCCTATAGCACCCTGGGCAATTATCTTCTCAACATACTGCATGAATTGCATTGAAAAATATTGAAAAATGGAGTGTCAGTTTTGAAGCAGCTGAACCCTTGTAAATGGCTTGAAACTCACTGCGTCGGAGCCGCCTTAATCTCACTAAAAGCAGTCACTAACGGGTGTTCAGTTTGAATTAGGTCGATACCTGCCGATCATCACTCTTATACCCCCCACAGGTACGCTGCTGGCTCAAACATTTCCTAATGAGGACACATCCTATTGCATCCAGTTTAGGCTGTTTTCCGTTATTTGACCGGATAAGAGAATGCATTTCGAGTTCCTAAGTTTCGCAGTTGCTTCAAATTTGGAGTCTGGTTATAAGAAATACCTGTCTTGTTCGGAAACTACCGTGTTTTACAAAAAAGGGTTACGGTTTATGGAATATAATTTATTTTTGACAAATTGAACAATGAAATTTCGTTTTATTTTTATTGCTCCTAGTGGAATTAACGAGATCATAGATATGGATGTAACGATAGAAATTGTGTATGAATCCCTTTAAAAATTCGTATCAAAAACACTTTTAGTGAAGCCAGGATACCCAATACGTAGGTGTTTAGGTATGGAAATAAACCATGTTTTATGTCTGGAATCTTGGCCTTCCCCACAATTATTCTAACAAGCGTATCCTCGGGTGAATTCAGAAATAATCAACAAACCAGAAACCAGAAGACAACGATGAAGGGCTTTAAGT